TCCCTGTTTTGGATGGCTTCATTTGAGGAGGAGCAAGGAATTATACAGGTGACTCAGAAATCATACAGGTGACTCGGAAAATCAGGCCCTTGTATAAAAGATAATCTCTGCAGTGAGCGGGGAACCTTGGTGAAGATGATGCACAACTTAGCATGTATAAGGATAATCCCTTCAGTTCATGGGCAGGCAGGCCTTAACATGGGGACAATGCTATTGACTAAACATGATAACTGCTACTCAGACAGATTAGCGGAGCTGGTATTATAGCCAGGGGATTAGGGATTGGTGTGAAAAAATGCCAGCTCGTCTTGCTTTCTAAGGTTGCCTAATCCTTTCCATTTTCCCCTTTTTTTTCTTACTTCATTTCTTCCATCCTTTCTTCTTTCTCCGTTCTCCTTTCTTTATTTTTTCTTACTTTTTGGGCTCCTTTTCATTCCATATTCCTTTCCTATTTTAATCTCTTTGCCCTCTTCTCTCCCTCTTGAAAGTCCTTATTATCATCTCCATGTGTATCTGTATTCTCTCACTCGCGCTCTCATTCATTCACAAAAGGAAATGTGTACATCTCTTTGTCACTAACTAATGCACCAACATATGTGCATACATATACATATTCACAGGCATGCCAAAAGGGGATGCAAAGTGGCATCGCATGTGCTCTTTCTGTTGGCAAGTTTCTTCCCTTATTCAGCAAACAAGGGAAGAAAAATGTCCACTTCATCAGTTTATTAACGATCTGCACCCTCTGCGGAAATCCTTAGGGGTGCCCACAATGTGTGTGTGTGTGGGAGAGGGTGTGTATATGTATTATACATGTGTATTTACATATATATACATATGTATGATAAATGTACATCTTCTCCCACAAATATACACATAGAACTTGTACACACACACACACACACACACACACACACACACACACACACACACACACCACACACACACACACACACACACACACACACACACACACACACACACACACACACACACACACACATACACACACACACACACACATCACACACACACACACATACACACACATACACACACACACACACACATACACACACACACACACACACACACACACACACACACACACACACACACACACACACACACACACACACACACATACACATACTTAAATGCATAAACACTCACACATACAATAAACACTCATACACACATACACTAAACACTCATACACTAAACACTCATACACACACACACTAAACACTCATACACACACACACTAAACACTCATACACACACACACTAAACACTCACACACACTAAACACTCATCACACTAAACACTCATACACACACACACACTAAACACTCATACACACACACTAAACACTCATACACACACATAAACACTCATACACACACACACTAAACACTCATACACCACACACTAAACACTCATACACACACACACACATACACACACAAACACTCATACATTAAACACACACTTATACGCACACATATGCACACAGGTACACAGATACACACACATACACATGCACACACATGCACACAGATACACACACACACAACACACGCATGCACACAGATACACACATTACACATGCACACAGATACACACATGCACACAGCACATGCACACAGATACACACATGTACACATCACACAGATACACACACATGTACACATGCACACAGATACACATGTACACATGCACACAGATACACACACATGTACACATGCACACAGATACACACACATGTACACATGCACACAGATACACACACATGTACACATGCACACAGCACACATGCACACACACACACATGTACACATGCACACATACACACACACACACATCACACACACACATGTACACATGCACACAAATACACACACACATGTACACATGCACACAATACACACAGATACGCACACATGTACGCATGCACACAGATACACACACACATGCACACAGATACACACACATGTACACATGCACACAGATACACACACATGTACACATGCACACAGATACACACACATATACACATGCACACAGATACACATATGTACACATGCACACATACACATGTACACATGCACACAAATACACACACATGTACACATGCACACAGATACACATATATGCTCACACATACACATTAAAAAGAAGAAGAAGAAGCACTGCTAGAATATAAACATAATTAAGCTACAAGCCTTAATGGCAAAAATTGCAGGCCTGGCAACCTTGCTCATGACATGATGTAGTGCACATGTCTTGGGTGAACCAGTGCCTATTTAGCTGTGTGTGGGAATGGTACAGGTAACTTACCTCTCAAAACTGAAGACACACAAGGTACGAGGATGCATTTTGTGATTTAGTGATTATGGAATCAGTGGTTTGAGATGGATAGTTATTTTTAGCACCGTTGGACATTCTTGCAGTGGTTTGTGGGATTGTTAAGGGTTATCTGGGTTAAGAGGAAGAGAAT